TGCTGTCCAGCCTCCTACCTTCCCAGCCTCTTTCCCTACCATTTCCTCCACCCCTGCCCCCACCCACCTTGTCTGTGACCCCTGAGTGCTCTCTGGTGCAGAGCTCCCTGGGAGGGGTGTGGGAGGGTGGGGCCTCTTCCCTACCTTGTTTCCTCTGCTCCCATGTCTGTGCCCCCCACCCCCCTCCCGAGTACTCCCTGGAGCATAGCCCCCTGGGAGGGGTGTGGGAGGGCGGGGCCTCTGAGAAGCCTCGTGTTGACCTGTGTTCTTCTTGGTGCCCCCTTCCAGGGACAAGGGGACAGATGGCTCTCTTCCTCCCTGCCCCCGGCTCAGCCCCCCTCACTAGTGTGCCACCTCTGGCTTCTGGTGGCAATCGCCTGAAGTTCTGAGCCCAGGACCGGCAGCAGCGGAGGAGGAGGAAGAAGGCAGGTCCCAGAAGCTTGGGCATCTTCCTGGTGGGAGAAGAGGAGCCAAGCGGGGGGGAGCAGGCCGAGGGCTCCCGGAGCCTAGGCCGGGCCGGCACCCAGCGGGCAGCGCCCCTGAAGGCCACCAGCCGCTGGCACTGGCAGTGCCCACCTCACCTGAGGCTCCGGAGCTGGGGGTCGCCCCCAAGATGGTGGCGGCCCCGGGGAGGACTGTGCTGCGGAACCCAACCTCCGATCGCTGCTAGGCGCCTTCCCCACCCAGCCCCTGCGCCCCTTACCCTGTGGCCGGCCCTCGAGGGGGCTCGGGCCGCCGCAGTGGGCGTCATGCTGCGCCTGGGGTTGTGCGCTGCCGCGCTGCTGTGCGTGTGCCGGCCGGGCGCGGTGCGCGCCGACTGCTGGCTCATCGAGGGCGACAAGGGCTATGTGTGGCTGGCTATCTGCAGCCAAAACCAGCCCCCCTACGAGACCATCCCGCAGCACATCAACAGCACCGTGCACGACTTGAGGCTCAATGAGAACAAGCTCCGGGCCGTGCTCTACTCCTCGCTCAGCCGCTTTGGGAACCTCACCGACCTCAACCTCACCAAGAACGAGATCTCCTACATCGAGGACGGCGCCTTCCTGGGCCAGGCCAGCCTGCAGGTGCTGCAGCTGGGCTACAACCGGCTCAGCAACCTGACCGAGGGCATGCTGCGGGGCATGGGCCGCCTGCAGTTCCTCTTCGTCCAGCACAACCTCCTCGAGGTGGTGACGCCGGCCGCCTTCTCCGAGTGTCCCAGCCTCATCAGCATCGACCTGTCCTCCAACCGCCTGGGCCGCCTGGATGGCGCCACCTTCGCCAGCCTGGCCAGCCTGATGGTGTGCGAGCTGGCCGGCAACCCCTTCAACTGTGAGTGTGACCTCTTCGGCTTCCTGGCCTGGCTGGTGGTCTTCAATAATGTTACCAAGAACTACGACCGGCTGCAGTGTGAGGCGCCTCGGGAGTTCGCAGGCTACCCGCTGCTGGTGCCGAGACCCTACCACAGCCTCAACGCCATCACCGTGCTGCAGGCCAAGTGCCGAAACGGCTCGCTGCCCATCCGGCCCGTGAGCCACCCCACGCCCTACTCCACGGACGCCCAGAGGGAGCCCGATGAGAATTCAGGCTTCAACCCGGACGAGATCCTGTCCGTGGAGCCGCCCGCCTCGGCCACCACGGACGCTTCCGCTGGGCCCGCCATCCGGCTGCACCACGTCACCTTCACCTCGGCCACCCTGGTGGTCATCATCCCTCACCCCTACAGCAAGATGTACGTGCTGGTGCAGTACAACAACAGCTACTTCTCGGACGTCATGACGCTCAAGAACAAGAAGGAGATCGTCACGCTGGACAAGCTGCGCGCGCACACTGAGTACACCTTCTGCGTCACCTCGCTGCGCAACAGCCGCCGCTTCAACCACACCTGCCTGACCTTCACCACGCGGGACCCCGTGCCGGGCGATCTGGCGCCCAGCACTTCCACCACCACGCACTACATCATGACCATCTTGGGCTGCCTCTTCGGCATGGTCATTGTGCTGGGCGCCGTCTACTACTGCCTGCGCAAGCGGCGCCTGCAGGAGGAGAAGCAGAAGTCCGTCAACGTCAAGAAGACCATTCTAGAGATGCGCTACGGCGCCGATGTGGACGCCGGCTCCATCCTGCACGCTGCCCAGAAGCTGGGCGAGCCCCCCGTGCTGCCCGTCTCCTGCATGCCCTCCCTGCCCTCCATGATCGGGGAGAAGCTGCCCTCCGCCAAGGGTCTCGAGGCGGGCCTGGACACGCCCAAGGTGGCCACCAAAGGCAACTACATCGAAGTGCGCACAGGCGCCGGTGGGGACAGCCTGGCGCGGCCCGAGCGGGACCTCCCCGACCTGGAGAACGGCCAGGGCTCAGCTGCCGAGATCTCCACCATCGCCAAGGAGGTGGACAAAGTCAACCAGATCATCAATAACTGCATCGACGCCCTCAA